CTCTCAAAACACACACACACACACACACGCGCAGACAAGGGTTCAACGTCCGCCCCTTCACCATTTCTCTGCGCTCTTCCTTGTCAAACGAACCTCTCCGTGCTTTCCGCCGAACGCAGCCAACGTCATCAGGAATACAACCGCCGCCATCACTAAACCTGTCACCATCATCTTCATCATCATTATCATCCATCATCATCGTCATCATTATCATCCATCATCATCATCATCATCATCATCATCATTATCATCCATCATCATCATCATCATCATCATCATCATCACGACCAAAAACAAAACGATGACCAACAGTAACGACTTGCATTTCTCTTCTCCTTCTCTCGCCCACAAACTACCGTCGTTCTCAGACATCTTCCCACCGGCCATCACATGTACACAGATGAAAGGGCAGTCACCGATTACAGAGAGAGACAGATCAAAAGAGAGAGAGAGAGAGGAAAGAGGAGAAGATAGATATATGACCTTCCCTTACCTTAACTAGCTTATCAGACTCTCTCTGATCTCCCTCTCGAGTTATCTTGCTGGCGATGGTGGTCCTTGAGGGACAGCCGATCTAGCCAGTCCTATCCAAACGCAAGCGACGACAACAAGTACACCCCACCCTATGCAGTCATACTTGAAATCACTGTCTCTCTTCTTCCTTGCCGCCCTGGCTGCAGCCGAAGTGCCCCCTTCCATCCTGCCAAACGGTGAGCTATGGCTTGGCCCTTCGCTTGTCATCCCCGCCTGCTGTAGGTGTTTCTGTAATTCAGCCCTAATGGAGGGCACTTTCTCTGTCATCTCCATGGACCTCTTGTACATTTCATTGTCGGGATCTTGGTCCAAGGCCTTCTGATAAGCCTCGGCTGCCTTGCCGAAGCACTCACTGGCCTTCTCTTGCTCCGGTGTCAGCAATCCTTGAGAAGTGAATGCGTTTCCCAAGTTCCAAAGGGTGTCATGTCTGGTTGGAGCGATGGACAGGGCCTCTTCGAACTTGGAGACGGCTTCTTCCAGCATGTTAATCGACTCATTCCCCTGTCGAAAATGGGCCAACTCCAGAAGAGCTTTCCCCCAGTCCGTCAGGTTGTCCGCATTCGTCGGTGTCAGCAAGTATTGATTCGCCGCCTGCTCCCGCGCTGTTTCATAGAAATACAGTCTCTCTATGTCTTCTCTTGGGATATCCATGGCGCCTCTCTCTCTCTCTCTCTCTCTCTCTCTCTCTCTCTCTCTCGCTCGCTCGCTCGCTCTCGCTCTCTCGATTCCTCGCGAAACGCGCCAAATTGTTAGCGCGCCAACTCACCGCCGCGTCAGCACCATTGCAGTGGAACACGGCATCTCACGTTAGCGCCAAATTACACCTGCACAGTTCCACCCTCTCTGATCTTCTTCGAACTTCACTACCCAAGGTGAGTCCCAACTGCGTGTCTCCTGCCACTTTCCTGTCCTCCCGTTCTAGCTCTCACGCCTACCTTCCTCAACCACCCCTTTGCCCACACACTTGGGGACGCAAGGCTGTGTTCCTTTCCTCCTAAGGCCTCCTAAGGACACAGCCTTGCCAAATCTAACGCACGCAAACTGCAATCCACGGGACCCAATTTCTTGGACCGCCTTAGGGTGTACTCAGACTAGCCTTATCTCAAATGTATCTGACCGCACTCACGGCCATACCTGCATGTATCTGGCGGAAATTCCATCCAAAAATACGTAAATAAGTCGTAGTGTGAGTATGCCCTTAGATCGGGAAGGAGGTCGCGAGTTCGAAGTTGCCCCTGCGCCGAATGGACTGGTCAACCACGGGGGAGCGGGGAACGCAGCCCTAAGGGCCTGGGGTTATTGAAGTACAATCGTTGACTTACCAACCATGAGGGCACGGGTGCACAGCCTGTAGTTCTTTTGTTGATGCGGTTGGAGAAGGGTGAGGTAGTGATTATGGTGTGCATATGTTCGTTGTGCACAACTCGAAGAGTGTTGGGGAGGGGGGGGTCCGACTGGTGCACAACTCGATGTTCATGGGATGCAGGACCCAGTTTCCAGCAGGTGCTGCTCCCCACCAATAGACAACAGAATGTGTGTGTGTGTGTGTGTGTGTGTGTGTGTGTGTAAAAGATAGAGAGAGAGAGAGAGAGAGAGAGAGAGAGAGAGAGAGAGAGAGAGAGAGAGAGAGAGAGAGAGAGCCCTGTAGCATGCACCATGTCAGTGGCAGGGAGCACAAGGGCAGGTGCTGACCTCCAAAAAAAAGAGAAAACGTAATATGCGATTGGAACACGAGTTTTTCGTTTTTGAAATTTGAGTAAAAAGGGTACATGTATTCGAACACAACGCGCACGTGTTCTATCTGAACTCCTCTTCCATTGGACAAGTGGACCCACACCGTTTCAATTTCGGAATGTTCAAAACTCAAGGACCGGCCTCCTCAGCCTCCTACGGGCAACTACTGGTCCTCTGCATGCCCCGCCCCTTGCTAAGCCCCGAAACCTCAAAATGCCCACCCTCCCGGACGACCACCGACGTTGAAATTTCAATGACGTTGAAATGTCTTTGGGGGGGGAAACGCAACCCTGGGGGGGAAATTACACATTGGGCATTTCCCCGAGCATAACACCCCCCCACACAACCTTACCTGACGTAGTTTCCCATTCTTTTGGCTTCACTGTGTTTTGTCTCCAAAGCGTGCAGTGAAATAATGTTTGTCCTTCAAAGGTTTTGCAACTGCTAATTGTTGTTCTCGTGGGACACTCTAAGATGTATGCTTCTGCGAATTGAATTTCGTTTGTATATTGGTGTTGTTGTTGCCATGTGTCTGATGCTGTTGTTTGTGAATGTCCGAGTTTGAGTGAGAGTGAGTGTGTGTGTGTGTCTTCATTTTTGCTATACATAACTCCTCAAAGAAAAGCATGACTACACGTGTGTGTGTGTGTGTGTGTGTGTACGTGTGTGTGCGTGAGTGTGTGTATGTGTATGTGAGAAAGAGAGAGAGAGGAGGGGAGGGAGAGAGGGAGGGAAAAAAAATGACAGGAACTTTTTTTTTATTAAAATGAGCTTGTTTTTTTCAAACCACCAGTACTTCCTAAAGTCGTGTCCGTTAACAAACCACGATTTAAAAAAACGTCCAGGTCACCATAAGAGCGCCCAAATTCATCCGACTAAAAACGTTTCTACTTTATTTTTTTCCACCACGGAGAGAGGGGGTCCTGATGTCTTCAAGGTGCATCGGCAGCATGTCACCATGTTTTTCCTCAAAGGCAGTGATTGCTCTCCTACTAAGAGGATTCAAGTTAGGTATTGGGTTGCACTACCGAGTTTCTTCCAATGAGATGTCATTCTCCCCGTGTAATCCTTTTGTTCACAATGGCATGGTTTGTTCTCTTATGAGAGGATTAACAATTGGGCAACTACTTACTGCGTTACTTTTTTTAAAACAGTCATTCCACTAACCTGAGTTTCCCTTCCGGTTTTGTTGTTAACCACCCATTACAATTTCAATATCTATTAAAGTTCGGTTATGGAAAGCCTTCGGCCTTACGTGGTTTACAATTAGGAGGTTTTATTATAGCCAAGATTAGCGATGTAACTCCAACGCCACATAACGGATGCCGTTCTCCTTTGATGCCCTGAGCTTTATCCCCCCTTGTGTCACACAATCCCTGAATTCCTGACATTATTTAACTCAAGAGTCGCGGTGTGCATGCTGCCACATCTTTTATGAAGTATCAGGGCACCATTTTGTTGGGCGTCAATCCAAGCAAAACAGGCGTTGCATGCAACCTATTTTTGCCTTGATAGATGTGTTTTTTTTCGGACGGTCGCACGTTGCAGAAATGCATATTACCTTAACATAGTTGCATAAAGTCACTATACTGCAGCCTTAGTGACACAAATTTATTATCTTTTGAGACAAAACAATTAAGGTCTACCGGTAACAGTCATTTTTTCACCGCTACCGTTTTTTTTTTTTTATGAAAAAAAAACCACCATATTTTTACTTCTATTTTTTCATAAATCGCTATTCAATAATACACGAGAGAAGCATGCAAAGCTCAAAGGTCCATGGGTGATTAATTGGAACCCCACTTTCAGTTTTTTGGTTAACGAGTTCAAAACTAAAATTAGGGTTCGAGGATCGAGTTTTATGATTTATTTATTATTACCTACTTTTGTTTTGGTTCAAGGATGCGACGTGCCAAATTGATTCTCATTTTGAGCATTCAAAATTATTATGCGGAGATTTCTGAAACTGAAATGTCAATAAAATTTACATGAAAGTGCATTTTTGCCTTGTCATTTAATGTGTATTTTTCTTCCATTTTTTTTTATACAATTAATCAGTATGGTTTCCACTTTATCAAATAGTGATCAGTTTGGATAAAATGTCATTTGAGTCTTGTTATAAATAATATAATAAATTATTTGAAAATTTAGGTATTTGTTCAATTGCTTTTTAAAGGTCACTTAGGCAACAATCGACCTTTGTGAGTTTTTTTTTTTTTTTTTAATAATAATTGTCACTTATCTCCAAGAATGTGTAGAACTAGTTTCCACATTACTTTCACCTTCATTATATCCTTTCCTTTAGAGGTTCACTAAATTTGAAAATTCATATGGACGTGTGTGTGTTGTGGATGTGCATGTTTAAAGTCTGTGCTTAAATATCCACTGTTTCTTTCCTTATGAATGTGCATCATGCATGCAGTTTGAAAGTTTGAGGAAAATATGCACCAGCACATGCACACACACGCATACACACACGAATCCACACATCAATTGAAAAATAATTGTATTCGCGCGTATGTGAGTCTGTGCGTTTGTACAATTGCATGTGTTTTTCGACTAGTTCAACACATAAATGAATTCTCTAATTGAGCTCGTGAATTAAAACCAAAGAACCATGCAAACAGTCTAATACAATCATTTTTTTTAATGTAGTTTTGTATAGCGGATATGTCTCAACATACACACACACAAAAATATACACATACGCACTCACATATAGTCTGGGCAAGATAGGCTTTCTACCATTCGACAGACTACTTGCCCCTATGCTTGGGAAATACACCCCCCCCCTAATACATATTAAAAAAAGCAAAAAGTTTTAGCACTTAAGTTCGATTCAACGTCGGGCTAGGGGGCTTGAACTTTCGGGGGTTTTACTCATCTTGTTCAGATTGACAAAAACGATGATAGTATATCGTGAAAAAAAAAAGGATCTCATATTATACAAATGTGAATATAAGTTCTGAACAAAATCTTGATAAATATTGTACAACTTAAGTAGCAAGAGTTCAAATACAGTCATTGATATATGACCATAATATTCATATTTTTTAATTATTGTTGTCTTATCTTTTGTTATAGCTAGTCGTGTTTCCGAGTTATTCACATATAAATTTCAGCAACCAGTGAACTTGATCGACTAAGAACGAAGATATTCATATAAGGGTTTATGCTCCGACATTAAGGGAAAAGAGAGAGGGAAAGGGATATCATGTCGGAGCAGTTGGGGGAGGAATAATGAAGTTCGAGTTTCAGAGATAAAATATGGACTCATCTATCTTGCCTCTATAGTCATATTACACCATCGAGACCACTGTGATTGACACATAGTTGATGCTTGAATGTTCGCAAAACCATAGCTACAACATTATACAAAAACTGTTGTCTTGTCGGGGCCATCACTATTGACAATCTGAGTACTTTCACACCTAAGTGTCACAAACGTGTTACAAATTTTATACGGGGGCGTTGAACCCGATTTTTAGCAGGTGCGGCCCCCACCAATGGACCAGAGTCTCCAATGTCACTATGAGATAGGGATGCTCATATCATGCCCCTAGTAGAGGTTACGAGGTTTTCTCTCTCTAAAAAATATATATAAAAGTCGGAACGAATGAGGATAACGAACTCGATTATGTAGTGGCTGAACGACATGATTCTCTAAGTCAGCGAGTAATGGCTTGGACTCTTAGGAATGGTTCTGGTGGTGCATATAACATCAGAGCGATACAGACAATCCCTAACGCGCCTTCGGCCTCAGTAAGGCACGAAGAATACACTACACGAGCATTCACTCCGGCGAATATGCAATCACGGGATCGGCCTCCCTCGATAATGATAATGAGAAGGTCGACAGAGCCGCCGTAGCACCTTGATTAAATTTTGATGCGAACCCCCCTCTCCCAAGGAGGCCGGAAGTATAATAAAAGGTTTCGACACACCTACTGCCCCAAAAAATACAAACATGTCATAAGTACATTTGATAGAGAGTAACAGTCATGATACCGTCAGCAAAGCCACGCAACAGCCAATAGAACAGGCTAACTTGGGCAGGGGTGAAAATCGGTACATCCTCCTTGAAGGAAGTAATCAATACCGTCTTAAATCAAATGCAAAAGCAGAGCAAAAAAGATGAAACAAGGAAATATGACAAAGTATTTCCTAAGACTTTCACAAACACACCAGGAGGTTGAACCCTAAATAAATAAGATTTTTCGAACAAAAATTGAGTATGAAATATATTTCTCCTCAATAGTAATTAAAGTTTAACAATAGTCAATGAATAATTCACCCAATTTCAATAAGATATCATTA